AGAGTTCCACACAGAAAAAAACCCCAACAATATTTCTGAACTGGCAGCATTTCTAGTAGAAACACTGAACAGAATACCAAGTGGAAGTGGTTATGGTTGTGATAGTAACCCTGTAATAATTAAAATTACTAATATTAAGTCATTTGAACTTAATGAATTAATTCGTAAACAGAACCTACAAAAGTTGTGTTTGCCATTAGTTGCTATATCAATGTATTCAATAATTAGGGTGATGGGAATAAAGTGCAGTTAGGACAGCAAACAAGGAGAGGACACATTGCAGGGGTTAGGTGTGATGTGCACATCTTGTAAGGAAACGGAAGGTGTTCTGATGTATATGTTATCCTGGACATCCATCTTGCTACAGATGTACAGTGTTGTAAAAACACAGTCAAAAGTGGCTGTTTTAAACAGTGAGGAGTTGGAGGTGTGACATTCCAATGAAGGGGAAAAAGAGGCTTATCAGCGTCAAACAGCGGGGCCTGGGTCAGCGCTGTTAAAGCGCAGCAGCACTGACCCGGGCCCCCTGGAAATCCATAGCCATCGGGTGGCCCTAACAACATGGGCCCCTTGAATGTGCGGCCCGGTGGTTTCCTGCGCGGGCCAGGGCCGCATAACATGGCTACTGGTACCCGGTTGCATGGGTCCGCAGGATGGCTGGGCCCCCTGGAGTGATGGGCCTGGCGCAGCTGCGACCCCTATATGTACGCCACTGCTTTCAGTCTGTCCAATCACAGACTTCCAACGGCAGCTCAATGAGAAGTCTTTGCAAAGCAGGTGCTCTGGGCAATTGCTGCCTCTTGTGTTTAGCTCTACTGTGCTAACCAAAGCAGTTAGTAACAGAACCTGGTGTCTGTACGTTTTATAAAATGAAGAGGACACACACTTCACACATAAACCATTGCAGCAAGCTGAAGTGCTTTAGGGGTCTGGAGTGTCCCTTTAAGACCCTCAAAACATATCAGTGGGATATTTCTTTTTTTCACCAGTCTGCCCTGTTTCTACTAACATCATTTGTAGATCCGCTGTCCATTATGCTCACACAGTCTATGCTAGAGTGTTTTCACTTGTTTGCTCTTCCATTATTTTAGCAAGAGATGCATGTTGTCCCTGATGACCTCTCCTTCTGATTCATTCTTCCTCCTATGTTCTCTTACTCAAATTCTTCTAGATTGGAAGATCGAGCAGTTTAATCTTGTGCAGGTTCATGTCAGTTTTTTTTTTTTTTAATTCAGTTATATATTTGAATTTTTAAAAAATGCTGCCTTATAGAGATTATAGTCAAATATATATTTGGTTTAATACATTTTGATTACTATTAAAGGACCACTATGCCAGGTCCCTCTAGTTTTAACCCTGCAGCTGAAAACATAGTTTCAGAGAAACCGCTATGTTTACATTGCAGGGTTAATCCAGCCTCTAGTGGCTGTCTCACGGACAGCTGCTAGAGGCGCTTCTGCGATTCTCACTGTGAAAAGAAGACGCTGGAGGTCCATAGGAAAGCATTGAGTAATGCTTTCCTATAGACGGTTTGAATGCTCGTGTGGCTATTGCCGCGCATGCGCATCTGACGTCAGCAGGAGGAGGAGAGTTCCCAGAGCAGAGGGAGCCCTGCACTGGATTAAGGTAAGTGGCTGAAGGGGTTTTAACCCAGCGGGACGGGGGCCCTGAGGGTGGGGAGGACCTAGTGACCCTACATATAGTGCCAGAAAAACGGGTTTGTTTTCCTGGCACTATAGTGGTTCTTTAAGAATAATAACTTCTCATTTTAGTTTATCTGGCTGCAAATATTAAGCATTATATCAACCACCAAATAGGAGTCTTTACACTTAAAAATCACGATTTACAGAATAGCGGCCATCAAAATGACAATCTTGCCGAAAATCCTCTATTTGCTCCGCTCTTTACAAATACCCTTACCGCAGTCATTTCTACACAGACTCCAATCTAGCCTGATTAAATTTAGCTGGGGAGGAAGACACCCCAGGGTCCCAAGAACGTTGCTCATGAAGCCAATAGACGACGGAGGCCTGGGCCTCCCGAATCTTAAGGCGTACCACCAGGCTGCACAAACGGCCAACATTATTGCCATGCACTCCACTACATACACCCCCCAATGGATAGAGATAGAGGCTAGTTGTAGCGGGGTCGCGGATCTCCCTGCGGCCCTGTGGATACCCAAACAACTGCGCCGCACACCGCCAAACGCCCTACCCACCACTAAACTTCTGTACCGCATATGGGACAGTCAAAGGTCCAAACTATGTTCCGCAGAACCATGGTCTATGGCAACGCCACTACACTCAATAAATCTCTACAATAGCACATTCCCATACAGAACATGGAAGGCCTCCAGTATCACACACTTGCACCAGATAAGCTCCCCGCAGGGACTACACCAGTTGCCAGAAATACTAGCCACATATAACATACCTCCACAGCTCACGTTCTCATACTGGCAGATGAAAGCACTAATAGGCAAAGCCACAAGACAAAGCCCCCCACCTGCACACCCCACCACCCTAACCACTTTCGAAAAGATGTGCATACACCAAATCCCAACTAAAAAGACGCTGTCTGTGTGCTATAAGTCAATCACTGAGAGTGAAACCGAGACGGAGTGGAGATACCAGACAGAATGGCATAGGGACATAGGCAGGTCTCTCACACAAGACGACTGGCAATGCATCCACACAAACCACAAGGGACTCACAACCTGTGCTTCCCACATCGAGACCTCGCGCAAATTAATATATAGATGGTACATGGTGCCTTCACGGCTCAAGAAAATATACCCAGACATAAGTGACAGATGCTGGAGATGCAAGACACAGGAAGGGACTATGCTCCACATCTGGTGGACATGCGCACTAGTCCAGCCATACTGGAAACAAATAGCAGCACTAATTCAAGGGGTCACAGGGTGCATACTAGACCACAATGCAGAAACATTCCTACTCCAACTTCTACCTAAAGGCACGCCACAATGCATCACCAAACTAATATTTCTAATACTAACGTCAGCCTCCACCTCACTAGCAAAACAATGGAAAACCCCAAAAATCCCACCCCCAGCAGAGGTAGTATCAATGGTTACGACTACCTTAGATTATGAAGGAATAATGTGGAGCCAAACAAAAGTGGGTAAAAGAAACGCCACAGCGAAAACACTCTGGGCCACGTACACAGCAGGCAGAGACCCTAGCAACTGACGAGGGGCCAACGAACAGGACAAAATAGATCCGAACAGACAACATAAACCAAACCAAAGAAGACACACGAGTTAGTTAGTATGTTATCCCAGTTACCCCCCCACCCCCCTCCAGAATGCCTCTTCGACAGGTAGACAACAGGGGCACACCACTCCCGTCATCACAGGCACAGTTGGACACAGACTAATGAACGAGCCAACCTTCCACTCCCCCCCCCCAAGAGAGAAACGGGCCATACAGCTCCCGAGCAGGGAACAGAACAAGGGACAGGGTACCCTTAGAGGCGCAAAGTTCTCTGGAACACTCAAAGGGACACTAAACCAGCTCTTAACGGCCTAGAGGTAGGGGAACCACTAAGGCAGGAGGGAAGACACTACACATGCACACGGCACAACCTGACACAGGTATAAGCGCTACGGCAAGGAATCGCCACATGATGCAGGAACTTTGTTAGCGCAACAATAGATGACGGCAGAGATGTCCCTTAAAGGACTTCATGAACAACTGTTAGTAGACGGCCTTGGTATATAATCCTGCACCGCAAAGACCTGTTTACTATGAAGGAATTATGTTCAAGTGCAATACCATGATTGTTATGTCAATGACCGATCTAATGAAAAGCATTACTGTATAACTGTAATTTGATGGGGACCTTTTCCCTCCCCCCCCCTTTTCTTTTTCTACTTTCTGTACCCCTACCCTCTTTATATGACAAAATAAAAATTGTCAAATTGAAAAAAAATCACGATTTACATTGTCTTACTGACTAGCGATTTAAATTAAATCCACCATGATTTACTATCAACGTACCAATGATTTCAATTTATAGGAAAGGTCTATTTAAAAATGCACATTTTAATGCACTTGAACAAACAAGTAATCTCACCCACTCCTTCTCCCCCTTTTTGTTTTTTGCTGTGCAGTGCCCAAATGCATCATTTGGAAACTGAGCACGTTTGAAAGCTATAAAAACATACATCAAAATAGATTAGTAAAAAATAATCTACATAGAACATTATAAGCAATGCATTTTGTTTTTACAAGCTACATAAATAAAATATTCACGATATGCTGGAATAGGTTGCAAAATGTGCTTTTCTGACATGGTTGCTGTTTTGGAAGGCATCTTGCTTTTTCCTCTGACGTTTTTATTACCGGGTAAGTTCTTTCTTTATCTAACACTGCCTAATCACACACAGGTGCAGGTTTTGCTCTAGCAGGCAACTAACAGAGCTGGAGACTATAACCTCTAAAGTTAGCACACTCTGCTGAGATAGATTTCAAAATGAACACTTTTTTTCAGGAAGTGGCTGTGAGTCACAGGCAGAACAGGTGTGAATAGGGCTATAGAAATACAGTGATTTAACTCTATAAACTGTAAGCTCGTTTGTTCAGGGTCCTCTTTAACCTATCATTCCTGTAAGTTTTCTTGTAATTGTACTATTTATAGTTAAATCCCCCCTCTCATAATATTGTAAAGCGCTACAGAATCTGTTGGCGCTATATAAATGGCAATAATAATAATAACAACAACAACTCCTAAATGGTGAGAATTCAGGGTTAAGTTCTATACACCAAAACTGCTCCATTGTGCTAAAGTGGTTTTGGTGCTTAGACTTTACCTATAATTTCTTGCTTACCGGTACGAACATGTTACATATTAACCTTAATTATCCGCATGTTTCCCTGGTTCTTGTTTCTGTTACACCGGTCATATTGTTGAAACTCATGAAAGAATACATTTTTTATTTATTTAATTTTTAATAAAAATTCTGAACATTTATTATTCGAGAAAAGAGCAAAACATTCAGCAAAAGTAATAATGTACATTCTGTCAAATGACTTAAGAGAGGCAGGAGAAAAAAAAAAAAAGCCAAAAAGCAGAAATGCCAATTAAGCCCCCCCTCTGTGGAAGGAAGGAGCAATATGTTAAAGCGTAGGTGTGCCCTTTGGGATTTATATCTGAAATGGACAGAACTGACAATTCAAAATATTCAGCAACAATGGATCACAAACAATATAAAGGTCACACTAAAAGCACATTTCTTAGAAGAAAAAAAAAATAACACTTGATACACTGTATAAACAATATTTAAATAGTAAAGTGGAATATTTCCTTTTGTTTCCATGCACAGATGGGAGATTCATGTGACCCCCAAGTTCATCCTATCAGTGCAAAGTAGGAAAACAGTAAAATTAAGTTCATGCTGTTGCGTCACAAAACACATGGCCAGTAGGACTAATCCCAGAACAAATGTCCCTCCTTAAAGAGAGCAGGGAACAAATATGTTGGACACCCAAAGGTTTCATGGGGTTTAGCTCTGGAAGCTATGCAAAGCAGGTCTTTTAGGCAGTGAGATGGCTTAAATAATGCCTGATGTAAGGCAATCTACATTCACTCCCAGCCTTTGTGTCACTGCATTGCAGAGCGTTTCAATGGTTAAACCAAGGGAAGAAGGTTAACAAAGCATCATGGGAGATGCAATCCACTGCATCTTGAATGGCTGAGGTGGCTTACCCTTGGTTTAAAAAAAAAAAAAAAATGATTTTGTTCTCCTTAGGTTTCTTGCCCATTAAGAAAAGAGAAAAGGAAAAAAAAAAGCTATATGATAAAAATTATTAATTACTACTTCAAAAATAATGCATAAAACGTCATTCACTGGTGTGTCACCATCCTTCAAAAATGAAATGTGTTCTATGAAATTCTTTTCATTGACCATTTTCAGGTTAGATGTACTAAAAGAAAACGGCTTATTAAAAAAACGAAGAAAAAAAAAACAAAACAAAAATACATCCAGACATATTGCCTAGTACAACTGAAAACGTGATCTGGCAAAATATATCTACCAGAATAAACCTATGTTTTAGTAGAACTTCTTTAACACCAGTGTGCGTATTCACTGAACTGAGAATTGTGGTTATATAACAAAATGGAGAATTGTTCCTATTTGACTATTTTAATCTTAAATTCAGTTCCCTTGTCAATTCACCACATTTCTCAGGTTTACTGAATAAACCTCGTTGTAATTACATTTAAGGGACATGTTTTTAACAAACCAGAGGATAAGTACATGATCCACATACATTCAATGTAGGCAACACTGGTGTGTGTCCACTAGATAAGAGGCCATTACATTTCCGTGAGGCCTTAATGATGTCAGGTCAACCAATTTATTAGCTACTAGCTCAAATCAAGCAAATAAAGGCGTGGATCACATGTCAAGGAACAGTGAAAAATTAGGCTTCAATTAGGATTTAACTGGTAAAATTAATACTTTGATCAAAAAGTACTTACAGTTAAGACAAAAAATTAGCAGCTGTAAACCATTTTAAAGACGGAGTAATGTTAAAAAAAAAAAAAAAATACATCTCAAGACTTCCATAAGGTCCAACTTTATCCAGCAACAAACACTCTTGTACGCCCCAGTATTGTAGCATTTACAATCACTGTTGTATTTGGTAAATTCATTATTTTATTTGACCATAAAGATTTCATGGGCCATGGCAAGCGTTCAGAGCTGAGAAATTTAGTGATGCCGTTTCCCACATGCTTGATACTGGTTTCTAAGGAGTAATAATTCAGAAGATTTATTTTATTTTGTGCAGGTCTCTTTAACCAGGTATCTTGATGGATTCCCATTTTCCGACGGCATCAAAAGTACTAATGGACAATTGATCATAGCAGTAAAAATACATCTCGCCACGAGATAGTGGAAGTTGTTCATAGTATGGACACAAGCAACTCAGCGTTATTTTAAAGCCGAACTAAATGACAGACTCAAAGATGTATGCAGCAAGGCACAGTAGAGCATTTATGGGTGGCAAGGTATAGACAGGGGCATAAAGCATTGTTTTTCTCTTACTGGGAGGAAATTTGATCAGTGGCTTGAAATGAAAACAGATATTACATAAGATCTAGGCAAGGTGACGGATAAAAAAAAAAAAATAACACAAAATGTCTGGGTGGGATGATCTATAAACTGTGTCACACAACTGTCCAAGCAATGTGCCATCGATGGTTCAGTAACTGGAAAGTATATCCGAGAAACAACATTTTTCTAGATACATAACAGTTTCATTCCATGGCCTATAAAGGTTAAGATTATATTTTGATGTACGATTTATAACTTGGAAATTGTTTAAGTTCATGATTTAATATATTGTTGGAGCCACCACCGAGAAAGAGCATTAGAACATGCCTTATGCATTAAATCCAGAAATGCCAGAACCAAGTAAGGCCAGCCTTGCATCTTTTAGACAACCAATTCTTAAAATACGAAGCCAAATAAACAAATTAAGATGCTTCAGAAGTTAGATATTTAAAACATACAAAAAGTTGGGAAGCCATTGGTTTGTTTAGTCTTTGACACCTGCGATTGGGCATCTGGGCCTAGAAGGACAGGATGACTGTGTGGAAAATACAGAACAACAAAACAGACAGAAGGTAAACAAAATTGGGTGGGGAGGGGCTTGTCTGCTTGTTCCGGTGTTTTTCTTTCGAAAACAGTGAAGAAAAAGAGAGTTAAAAAAAAATAAGGACCTCAACGTTCCACTTTAATCTTCCACTCCAGAAATCCGTGTCTGAATCTGTCTCATATCTGGTGCTTTCAGCAAACAACGTTGGATTGTTTTCCCCTAGAGACCTTTGCAGCACCTGTGGTTGGCTGAACGCCGCCACGTCACGTGTACCGCAGTTCATCTCTTTCCCTCTCGCTCGTGTTTCAGTTCATCAAAGCAACACGCAACGGAAGAAACTACTTTTCTTGGAGGACTTCTCGGTGATTTTCACAGGCCCCCCTCCACCAGGAGAGTTGCTTTCATTCTGTATTGGAAGGAAGGGAACAATGAGCAGTGGCAATGGAAGCCATTCATGGTTAAGTAGCATTGCTCATTAGAACATCCTGGCCTATCGCATTCAGGCTGCACGTGCCTGGCTTAGATCTGGTAAAACACTACACACATCAAATCATTGCTCTCAATCAGTTAATACTCACCATTTTTCTGTTAAGTTTTGTCATGATGTCCCTTCCAAGAGTGAAAAATGCCTAAAGAAGAAGCAGCAGTTTAGTGTCCGCCAGAGAGGTGCAGGCATTGCACCAGTAACACATCAATGATTACAGTGAAATAAAACACAATGATACCATAAAATGTATGGTATAGATACATATACTGAATTATTCAAATATGGTATGCATTATTTATGAAAGGGTAGCTTTGTATATACACGAACTGCAATGCTCCAATTTGAAACAGTATCACCATGTCATATAATGTATCCTCACCAACGAACAATCTACACACACACACAGAATTACTGCCAAGTACTAATTCCTACCTCTTCAACATTGATGCTGGATTTTGCGCTGGTTTCAAGGAATTTTATCCCATAATCGATGGCAAGCTAAGGTAAAAAAAAAAAAAAAAATATTAAAACTGAAAGAATATACTCAAAATGACAAAATCAGTCAAGTAACTCATTACTGGAGCAGATAGATTCAATGGTAAGGCAGTAGTGTGACAAACACAAGGTAACAGTATGGATGTATGAGGCATCTCGATGTGGGAAAAATGGAATAGATTGTGTGAACAATAATTACCTTTTCTCCTCTCTCTCGCGACACTTGTCTCTTGTCATTCATGTCACATTTATTGCCCAGGATCATCCGCTCCACATCAGAGGAGGCATGCTGGGTGAACAAAGTAAAGCATCTCAAAGTGAGCAAAAAACCAGGAAGAAGAGGTACATATACACATATGACCACGGATTCAGGTGGTGTGCATGCATGGAACAAGTTGGACTGAGTACTTCAGACCCCTAAAGCACTGTAGCTTACAGAAAAGCTTTATGTGTGAAGAGTGTGTACTCTTTTAAAAAAAATTTTTTTAATTTTCCAAATTCACCTGGTTACACCCTCCTGGCTGTCAATCAGACAACAGGTAATGTAACTTCCTGGTTTGTTTAGTTCAGTGAAGCTAAACTCATAAGGCAGCAATTGCCCAGAGCACCTGACTTACAATAACTTCTCATTGAGCTGCATTGGGAAGTCTGTGATTGGACAATCACACAAAGTCTGGGTGGGATTAGAATGAGAGGGTTTACGAAGGCAGCAGACAAAAGATCTGCAGTTTTTACAAACTGTTTTTATATATACACCCAATGTAAACATGCATGGTTAGTGCATACAGGTTTTCATTTGAGGTATATCTACTAAACAGTTTAAAATAAAAATAAAATAATTTGGTATTTTGGCAGTTAAATGTCCCTTTAAAGTAAAATTGCAGATAGCTTGCATTCTGAAATATAGGAAATTTTACATATCATGTCCAGATTTCACATAAACAAATCATGTAAGCATAATGTAGCATCTTATACATGGTTCTAAAGTATAGATTGTAAGTCATTTGGGGATGGTTCTTAAAACCTCTGATACCCATATAGAATGCTGAAACAAACAACGTATTACTACTGTGCCTCTAATTTATTTTATTCTGCTTAAAGATGTCTAAGGCCAGGGACTAATGAAAGTATTTAGAAAATTGGGCAGACTAGATGGGCCAAATGGTTCTTATCTGCCGTCACATTCTATGTTTCTATGTGCTGGCAGATACATAACTATGAAACATTCTAAATCTGAAAATCACAGCTAAGTTATGTCTTGTGAAATAAACGAGAATGTTTACAAACAGACACTAGCGCAGTAAAAAATTATCTGCAACCTCCCCAAGCACAAAACCTTTGATAATCTATGAAGTCTCAGCATCTACACATGTACAAACAGAGGCATTAACTCCAATTCCCATTGTTCTCACCGCACTCTTCTTCTCGCTCATTTTTACTTTATCTGTGTATGCCGCGACTTTCTTGTCATTCACTATCACTTTATTTATACCGTTAATTCTGTGCTGGCAGCAGATCTGATATTTCTGCTCAGATATGTATTACTTATTGTAGTTAATAAATAAAATGTGCATGTGCATGGGGGTCTCATTTATGCACAAAATGTACGGCAATAGATCCCTAGATGAAGAGAATTTCAGATCAATAGAAATGACATTGCTCCTACGTCATGCACACAGAGTGGCAGAGCAAGCTCTGGATGTAAAACACATAAGATGGGGGTTGAAGGTCTATCGCAGGTTATCGTCAGAAAATGTATGCCACCTTTTCTATCAGAGCAGGAAGCAGATTTCTGCCTCTTACTGATTGAGAAATATTAGGAAAGGGTTAATACTGGCAATAAATAGACAGATAATTATGGATATTTCATGCAAACATAATTATGTATCTAGAAAAACAGCAAACTGCCCACTTAACACTTACTTCTTCAATGTTTCTTATCCAATTTTTTATATTGTCGAAAGATTTTTCATTGGTGATATCGTAAACCAGCATAATGCCCTATGGAGCAAAAAGATGCAGGTTAGGGTAATATTGGCGGGGGCAATACAAAACATAAGGGGAATATCGACCTTCAGAAACTGTACAAGTGGTTCTCAGATCAGTTCTAAGGCACTGCAGACAGTCCACAATTTAAGGATTTCCTCATTTTGTTCCAGCTGAGAGATTATTAAAACCAAGACGGTCAGGGGTACATGGCGATTAAGGTGAAGTGAACCAAGAGATTTACATGAAATTTAGACTGAATATTGTGGAAGCAGTAAATAAAACATATAGTAAGGTTACATAAAATATATATAAAATTTAAAGAGCTTAAGGAATGGCTTATTAAGCATTAGGAATACTAGCAAAGACAGATGTTAATGAAGTTGATGAAGAACAGTTGGTATAGTTTGCACAGAGGACTACATTAGAAGGCACACAATAAGACAACTAACAAAAAAAATATCACACACAATATGTTTTATGGAGGAAATATGCATAATGACAGAAGGAGATTATATGGAGTAATAGGAGGAGTTATAGTGAGAGGTTATAGGGAGTAATAGGAGGAGTTATAGGGAGAGGTTATATGGAGTAATGGGAGGAGTTATAGAGAGAGGGTATTTGGAGTAATAGGAGGAGTTATAGAGAGAGGTTATAGGGAGTAATAGGAGGAGTTATAAGGAGAGGTTATATGGAGTAATGGGAGGAGTTATAGAGAGAGGTTATATGGAGTAATAGGAGGAGTTATAGGGAGAGGTTATATGGAGTAATAGGAGGAGATATAAGGAGAGGTTATATGGAGTAATAGGAGGAGTTATAGAGAGAGTTTATATGGAGTAATAGGAGGGGTTATAGGGAGAGGTTATATGGAGTAATAGGAGGAGTTATAGGGAGAGGTTATATGGAGTTATAAGAGGAGTTATAGGGAGAGGTTATATGGAGTAATAGGAGGAGTTATAGAGAGAGGTTATAGGGAGTAATAGGAGGAGTTATAGGGAGAGGTTATATGGAGTAATAGGAGGAGTTATAGTGAGAGGTTATAGGGAGTAATAGGAGGAGTTATAGGGAGAGGTTATATGGAGTAATAGGAGGAGTTATAGGGAGAGGTTATATGGAGTAATGGGAGGAGTTATAGAGAGGTTATATGGAGTAATAGGAGGAGTTATAGTGAGAGGTTATAGGGAGTAATAGGAGGAGTTATAGGGAGAGGTTATATGGAGTTATAAGAGGAGTTATAGGGAGAGGTTATATGGAGTAATAGGAGGAGTTATAGGGAGAGGTTATATGGAGTAATAGGAGGAGTTATAGAGAGGTTATATGGAGTAATAGGAGGAGTTATAGGGAGGCTATATGGAGTAATGGAGTATGGAGTTATAGAGAGAGGTTATATGGAGTAATTGGAGGAGTTATAGAGAGAGGTTATATGGAGTAATATGAGGAGTTATAGAGAGAGATTATATGGAGTACTAGGAGGAGTTATAGAGAGGTTATAGGGAGTAATAGGAGGAGTTATAGGGAGAGGCTATATGGTGTAATAGGAGGAGTTATAGGGAGAGGTTATATGGAGTAATACGAGGAGTTATAGAGAGGTTATATGGAGTAATAGGAGGAGTTATAGGGAGAGGTTACATGGAGTAATAGGAGGAGTTATAGGGAGAGGTTATATGGAATAATAGGAGGAGTTATAGAGAGAGGTTATATGGAGTAATAGGAGGAGTTATAGGGAGAGGTTATATGGAGTAATAGGAGGAGTTATAGGGAGAGGTTATATGGAGTAACAGGAGGAATTATAGGGAGAGGTTATATGGAGTAACAGGAGGAGTTATAGGGAGAGGTTATATGGAGTAATAGGAGGAGTTATAGAGAGGTTATATGGAGTAATATGGAGTTATAGGGAGAGGTTATATGGAGTAATAGGAGGAGTTATAGAGATAGGTTATATGGAGTAATACGAGGAGTTATAGAGAGAGATTATATGGAGTAATAGGAGAGTTATAGAGAGAGGTTATATGGAGTAATAGGAGGAGTTATAGGGAGAGGTTATATGGAGTAATAGGGAGAGGTTATATGGAGTAATAGGAGGCGTTATAGGGAGAGGTTATAGGGAGTAATAGGAGGAATTATAGGGAGAGGTTATATGGAGTAATAGAAGGAGTTATAGGAAGAGGTTATATGGAGTAATAGGAGGAATTATAGGGAGAGGGTACATGAAGAGCACAGAAAGCATGATTGCTATAGGAAGTGATAGGTATATAGAGAGTTTTGTATGAATTAAAAGCAGGAGTGAAGCCAGGATTACATTGAACTTCAAAGTAAAAACAAAAAAAAAAAACTATATATTCGATTTACCATAGCGCCTCTGTAATATGCTGTAGTGATTGTACGAAATCTCTCCTGTCCTGCAGTGTCCCTAAAATTACATGGAAAACATGGCAGTTTATATGATAAAAATCTCACGTACAAGGGGGACAAAATATCAAAATATCAACAATAAAAACCATGTCTCAACAACAGATCGTTTTGATACAACTATGCAACAATGTACAGCTTCAATATAAAAAAAATATAAAAGATTTGCTCCACTATGTTCCAGTTACTAACAGGTTGGTAGCGAGCATTCACTTTAGTAGAAGGGTTCTGCAAATCAGAGATTTCCAGTAATACCGCGAACAATGAATTTCAAATTCAAGGTAAAAGAAAAGAAAAAAAAAAAATGGAAAAATTCTCCAATTCAGCTGTGCTTTTAGTATAGTCTGGCTTTAAATTTGAAATTCCAGCGTTAATATGTTGGAGTTTTGAACTTCAAATATCTCACTGCATTATCGTTACTACAAATTAGCAGTACTGTTTCGTTAAAATTATGTTGCAAAAAAAATAAGCACCAAACTATTAAAAGGGACACTAGTCACCAAAACAACTTTAGCTCAATGAAGCAGTCTGGGTGTGTAGATCGTGCCTCTGAAGTCTCACTGCTCAATTCTCTGCAATTTAGGAGTTAAATCACTTTTGTTTCTCTTTATGCAGCCCTAGCCACAACTCCCCTGGCTGTGACTGCCACAGCCTGCATGAATAAAAAATGGTTTCATTTTCAATCAGATGTAACGTACTTTACAGGTACACTATGGGCACACAGGCCACTTCAGCTCATTGAAGTGGTCTGGATGCAGTGTCCCAGGTCCCTTAACCCTGAGCAGGTAATTATTGCGGTTTCTAAAAACTGCAGTAATACCTGCTAGGGTTAACTCCACCTCTAGTGGATGTCTACCCAACCTTGACAGAGATGGAAGCTATAGTGCAAGGAACAACACGTTTGTTTTCCTGGCACTATAGTTTCCCTTTAAACGTTTTTATCTCCTGCTCTGTAATTTGAACTTTAATTACATACAGGAGGTTCCTGCAGAGTCTAGCAAGCTATTAACAGAACAGGAGATACACAATTCTAAATGAAACAGAATTAGCAATAAAGAAAGTATAAATATTAGAGGACTATTTACAGGAAGTGTTTAGGAAGGTGGTGCAGATCACATGCATGGAGCTGTAACATGGACTGTATAAACAAAGTGATTTAACTCTTTAATGACAGAGAATTGAGCAATGAGACTGGCATGATCTATACACCAAAACTTCATTAAGCTTTGGTGACTATAGTGTCCCTTTAATGAAGAGGTTTTTTCCAGAGAATGTAAAGCATTGAGAAATGGCAAAGTGTACATTTGTCCGAAACTATATATATATATATATATATATATATATATATATATATATATATATATATATATATATATATATATTTGTGCTCGGAATTTAAATACGTGATGGATAGTAACTGAGCAAAGTTGGTTGTGGTGTGCCGAAACCAACGTACGAGTGGGCCTGTAAATAAAAGAGGGCCCACCAAGGATAATGTAGTTAAAACAGGGTGTAGGTGGGTGGGGACAATCAGCTGAGCGGCAGCGGTGAGTAGGGGCTGGGAGCTTAAGTAGGGGACTTACTCCTCCCACAAATTCAGACCTAATGGCCTTTCTACTTGTGCTCGGAATTTAAATACGTGATGTATAGTAACTGTGAGCAAAGTTGGTTGTGGTGTGCCGAAACCAACGTACGAGTGGGCCTGTAAATAAAAGAGGGCAAAAAGATAAATTCGAGAAAATACACACTTTATTGCATTTTACAAGACCAAGTTTCTGAAAGCTTGGCGAAGCTCTTTCTCTGGTTGCGGAATATATGCGTTATATATGGAGGATTTCCATCGCCCGAGCCTTTTGATGATGTGGACCGGTGCGTTTGTGCTTGAGGCTGCTGAGGCGGCTCCTATGCGGAAGGAGTGCCCGGAGAATGCAGCCGGGTTGTGTCCGAGCTTAGATAACAGAGTTCTGACATGAGACATCAATTTTGCCGTGGTAAGCGGGTGCCCTTGTAATGTTAAGAGCGGAGAGTCTGGCAGGTGAGTGTGAAGAGTTGACCGTAGTTGGTCGAGAACTTTCACCGGACACCAGGCATTATCAGTAGGGAAGAGAGGAATTATTGTAGGATGTATTGACCGGTTGGTTTTAGTGGTAGGGATAGAAAGGAGGTAGTGATCCTCTACCTTGGTGAGGTGTGAAGTTTTAAGGCATCGTGCGATATCTCCTTGACAAATCACTGTGAATTCTCTAGGTCTGAGAAAACCGTAGAAAGCGAGATATATGGCAGATTTTATCACCGTATTGGTGTGGCTATCAAATGGGGCTGTGTCAAGGAGATTGCTAAGTGACCTGAAGATAGGCCCGTCTATGGGTAATCTAGTGCTTGCGAGTGGTGGTGAAACCTTTGATATACCTTTCAATACCTTTTTTATGGGGTATGAAGACAAAAAGGGGGTGCTGTTAGGAAAATTGGTGAGGCTGTGGTGCTGAACCCCGGTGAGGTAAAGTTTAATGGTGTTGTGTGACAGATTAAGGTGTAGGTGGCAGAAAGAGGCAAAAGACACCATGGTTTGGATAGAAAAGTCACCTTGTAGCCCGAACTCTGCAGTGAATTTGTTAAATATGTTAAGTGCCCTATTGTAAGTGATAGCAGTGTTGGGTGATAATGCTTGGTGAGTGAGTGATCTAGCGTGAAGCAAGAGTGTGCTTAATCCAATATTAGTTTGTGAAACCGTGGTGTCCTGGATGGCTGTTGGTGAGCTGCTGGGAGTGCCTGAGAAAATGCCTGGAATCGAGAACGAGAAAGAGCGTCAGCGGCGGTGTTGTGAATACCCGGGATGTGAGAACATACTAAGTGAAACTGATTGGATGCTGCCAGCCAGGTCAACTTGCGAATCAGCCGCATGATGGTCAGGGATGATGAGCGCCCTTTGTTAATGATATCGCAAGCTGCCGAGTTATCTGAGTAGCATTTTACTGCCTTGCCGGACCAGAGATGACCCCAGGTGTGTGCGGCCGCCACAATGGGGTAAATTTCAAATAGGGTTGAGGTCTCCCTGAATCCTGGCAAGGCATCCGTCTCAGTGGGCCAGTGGCCCCTAAACCAGTGGTTCCCGAAAATGGCTGCGAAACCGGTGTTGGCTGCTGCGTCTGTGTGGATGATGGGTGAAGAGGTGGAGAGAGGGGGGATAAACATGGAGATACCATTCCAGTCTTTCAAAAACTTCCCCCACATAGCCAAGTCAGCCTTGGCGTGGGGGTCCAAAGAAACTGTGCCGGAGTCCGGGACTCCATGGAGCAGGCAAAGAAGTCTGGAAATAAAAGACCTTCCCTGCGGAATGATGCGCATGGCGAAGTTCAGAGATCCAAGAAGGGACTGAAGTTCTCTCCTGGTGCAAACGTCATTCCGCAGGAACGTGTCTATCTCCCCTCTCAATCGTGAAAGTTTGTCGTGTGGAAGGCTAGCTCTGAGTTTGACAGAATCGAGCTCTATGCCTAAAAAGGTCAACTTTGTTGTGGGTCCTATAGTTTTGGCTGGGGACAAAGGGACTCCAAGTGTGGAAAAAAGTGCGGTAGTACTATTGATTGCTGTGGGTGTTGATGACCCTGGCTCTATCAGTAGAAAGTCATCTAGATAGTGAATAACGGAGTGACACCTGATGACGTTCAGAAGCAGCCAGCATAGTGACTCTGCGAAAATGTCGAAAAGTTTGGGGCTGCTTCGGGAACCAAAAGTGAGTCGTGTTGAGAAGTAATAATACCCTCGCCATTTAACACCGTGTAAGTGCCAGAGTGAGGGGTGTATGGGCAGTAATTTAAAGGCGTTAGTGATGTCTGTTTTGCTGAGCCAGGGTCGATTACCAGATGTCATGATGGACTGTATGGCGTCGTCGATGGTGACGTACTGCAGAGAGAATTCGTCTGCTGGAATGAGTGCGTTTATGCTTGGAACAAAAGAGGAGTGCGGTGCCGATAAATCGATAATGAGACGTTTTTTATTAGAATATTTGTGAATAGCAATACCAATAGGGTTAGTGCGCCAGGAGGAAAACGGTGAAGAGGTGAAAGGACCGATCATGAAACCGTTTGTGGTTTCTGCGGAAATGAGAGTGTCTACAGCGACTGGGTCTAAACGTGCAGACTGGAGATTAGGACATTCTAGTGTACCTGGTGGAATGGCTATTATGCCTGTGTGAAACCCTTGTGAGAAACCTGTGGTGAGAAAATCCACTAAGTGCCCGCTGGGGTGAGACCTTAGATAAAAAACCAGGTTGTCGATATTTATGTCGGTTAGTCATTTGTTTGGTGACAACCTGGCTGGACACATGGTCTTGGTATGTGCCCTGAAACATATGGAGCAGATGTGCAATAATCTACAGGCGCTGAAACTGCAGGAGCCTGCGTTGAAATTATTGCACACCTGTGCTTTACCTAAAAAGGAGATGGGCCTACCCAGCTTATCCCGGAGACCACCCGCTGGCTTGTTGTGAGGGGTGAAA